TGTCGGATACCAGCCGACTGCGCCTGCGGTGGCGTTATGATTTCCTCGACAAACAATCTCTTCTATACTTCATCACTTTCCAGAGACCACCGTTGGACCAACTCACTCTTCTGCGCCACCAAAAAGGTGTGTTAAAAACTTAGTCTGAGACTGCGCGATCGCCGCTAGCTTCGCTCCGCCCAAGAATGGGGACAATCGTTCATCTCTGTCCACTAGTCTGCTTGAAGAAAGGGTGACAACTCGTCTACACTGGGTCGCTCCCTCACTCGTAGAGTCGCTGTACGGCCTTCGCGATACCCTCCTCACCACCGAGCTGCTTGAACAGACCCTCAGTGCCTTTCAACAACGAAAATAAGTACATCAAATACTCAGTCGAAATTTGACTTCTGCCGAAGCTGGAAATGCACGAGATAACCCAGCTTACCGCCTATCTCTGTACGTCTCTTGGCCAACTCTAGTCGGACAGTGCAGCCTGCTGTGATAATTCCCCGGACATGAGAGACACATTCGAGGAAGTCCACCCTTACCTAAGACGGATATAAACGTAATCAATCGCGATAGAGAAGGACGAAGAAACACTAGCGATATCGTATGATGGTTCAAATGAATCTTGATTTTCTAATCCAGGAACCCTAAACGAAACATGCCGTGATCTTGAAGTGCCAAGAGGACATCTATCGCAGTCAAATAGAAGTTTGTGGTGATGCAACTGCGCGGCTGTAGCCGTACCGTGTTGTCGATCTCCATAAGCTCGCAGGCAACTTTCATATTTTCCATCAATGCATCGAAATGGTAATCCGTGATATTGATACCTGCCAAATTGAACTACGGCTCAAAATCTAGGCCGTAACCATACCGCGATGGATTTCCTTCAGCGCCTTCACGTCGTATTTGACTTCAGGAGCTCCTGTTATCATCGAAAGGAATGTACACATCCTCTCCTTTATTTGCTCAACCTAAACTATGGCTTCTATTCGCCCATGGAATTGAATAGAAGAGTATTTGAAATCCTCCGGCTCGAGCGCTGGTATTTCCGCAATGATCATCAAAATAGATGAGTCTGCCTCGCTAGGGGAAGCAAGCACCAGGACGTCGTACTCACCAGTCTACAGAGGCTTTACTGTCCACTTACTCTGTCTTTGGGAAGATCAAAGAAGAACTTGATGCGTGGATCCAGCAAGGCTCCGCTGTACATTGTCTCAACAACAGCCTCGAGATTCATGTCTCCACCGATACGCTCGAATATCGTGCACCTGATTGGGCTAGGAATGAGACCAGCAGGCTTCGGGAGAGTAGTTCTACCGTC